TAATAAAGTAAAAACTTCAATATAGACATTTAATAAAAATAAACACAGCTCTTCTCTATCTGGTATTTATCTTTTTGTAAGAAGTGAGGTTGTAATCAAATCTTAATTTATTTTTCCAGAGATGAGTTGTCTGAGAACCGTTTATTGAATGCTCCATCTTTTCACCCACACTTTAAAATGCTACCTTTATCATACATGAAATCCTCATATATACTGACCTCCATTTCTGGGTTTCTGTTATTTTATATTGATTGACCACATTTTGTATTGCTACCACACTGCTTTAATTTCGGCAGCTTTATAAAATAATCTGTAACTGGAAAACTCTATCCTTATTAAACTTCATCATAATTTTCTTAGATATTATCATATGTGAATTTTGCCATATAAAAGCAAGTATTGATTTTATATGGAATGTGGTGTTTCAGGGCAGGCTTCTGCGAGGAAGTGATGTCTAAAGTAAGAAACAAGGAGAGATAAAAATTAGCATGTGGAAAAGGGGGCAACAATAAGGGTTCAAGGAAGATGCTTCAGTGTGAGAGAATGAGAGAGTGGGGGAGACCCAGCCATTTAAGTCCAGAAATGGCTTTAAAAAAATATTCCTACCGGACACATAATAATGGCAAATGTTAAAAAAGACAGAGCTCAGTATCCATTAACAAAACACCGATCGACAGAATAAATACAGATCTAGGTACATATTCTTAACATACCAAAAGTCATAACTGCTATTATATGAACCTTAAACTATCTTTAATCTGTAACTTCCTCCATTTGATCCTTTTAAAATCATTAAAACATTTTAATATGTCAAAACAGTATTATATTTTACCCAAATTTTCAACAATTAACCTAAAAACAACTCATTGGATATGGCCCAAGTAAATAACTAAGTTAGATTTCAATAGGGAATATGTTCTTCCAGATAAAACAAGCTGAAAAGGAATGAATACATTTATAATCTGTGAATGTACTAAAACATTTAATATGCAAGGCTTGCAGAAAAGTAAAAAGCCCAGACTTCAAAAGGTTCAGAAAGGGCAAACAAAATTGTCTTTTTGGCAGAAGAAATACTAAGTAATTCATGTGGTATCAATAATGCTAAATACATTTTTTCTATATATAGCAAACCTTATATTCTCAACATGAACTCTCTATTCTCATTATACTTTTATCCATTATGTTTTCCCTGCAAATAGCCAAGCTCATCCTGTCTACTTTCCTTTATTTATATAGATTCTGTGATTGGAGCTTTGACTCACTTCTTTCAAGAGTCTCCTCAGGTTCTTCATGAGGCTTTCTGTGAGCATTCTAACCAATATCAATCTTCCCATTCTCTGAAGTACAAGTACTATATTTTCAACACTATATATTTGCCATCATTCATCAAACAGTGATTGAATAGTGCCTGTCTTGTGCCACACACTATGTTAGGTGCCAGGAAAATAATGATTAAGAAGGCGTACTGCTTTCTCACAAGTAGCTCACAGTCTTCTCATGAAGATAAATATGGAAATAATTAAAACTCTAAGTGCTTTCTTAAACATAATCAGAAAACACTATTAGGAGAATAGAAGGTAGTCTATTTAGTCGTATTCTATTTTAATTTAACCGTTTGATATGACATGCATACTTTTGTATATATCTTCCCTGTCTTCTATACTTACAGCAAATATTACAACATCAAATATTTATGATCTATGGAGTACAATGTTTAAACAATTTTCTCACAAAAAACAACATTTTTACAATTTTTCTTTAAGTCTAAAATATTTCCAAAATTAAAAGCTTATTTAAAAATCTAAAGACAATGTCTAATAGAAGTAGTATTTATAAATTACCCAAGTTCCTATTCACATTTTCCCCTCTTTTAACAATTTTGGCTGCTGTTCTCAGAGGCTATAAGCTCTTCCCTACATCCAAGTCTTTGTCTACAATGTCCTATGTTCCTCGAAATTAGTTAAAACCTGCAGTACAATGGCAATGAGTTAAGATGCAGTAGCTTGAACATTAGTACAAAGGCCAATTTTGAAAAATAAGTATCAATGTGTAGCATTATAACTTGGTTATATAGTCATACATTGCTTAACAATGGGGATACACCCTGAGAAATGCACAGTTAGGCAATTTTATCATTGTGCAAATATCATAGAGTGTACTTAGACATAGATGTCATAACCTACTATACACAAAGGCTATACATATATTGCCTATTGCTCCTAGGCTACAAGCCTGTATAGCATGTGACTATACTGAATATTGTAAGCTATAGACAATTGTAACACAATGGTATTTATTTATGTGTGACATTTCTTTTGCAGCTGCTAAAATGTGATGTATCAGTTTTCTACTGATGTAGCTATTACCTCAAATTTATTGATCTGAAACAACACAAGTTTATTACCTTACAGTTCAAAAGGGCAGCTCTGGGTCTTACTGGGTGAAAATAAAATGTCTTTGCTATTGGGAACAGTGCCACAATAAACATACATATGCACATATCTTTATAATAGAATGATTTATAATCCTTTGGGTATATACCCAGTAATGGGATTGCTGGGTCAAATGGTATTTCTATTTCTAGGTCCTTGATGAATCAACCCAAATGGCCATCAGTGATAGACTGGATAAAGAAAATGTGGCGCATATACATTATGGAATACCGTGCAGCCATAAAAAAGGATGAGTTCATGTCCTTTGCACAGACATGGATGAAGCTGGAAACCATCATTCTCAGCAAACTAACACAAGAACAGAAAACTAAACACCACATGTTCTCAGTCATAAGCGGGTGTTGAACAATTAGAACACATGGACAGAGGGAGGGGACCATCACACACCGGCGCCTATCGGGGCCTAGGGGAGGGATAGCAGGGGGTGGGAGGCTAGGCGAGGGATAGCATTAGGAGAAACACCTATTGTAAAAGAAGGGGTGATGTATGCAGCAAACCACCATGGCATGTGTATACCTATGTAACAAACGTACACATTCCACACATGTACCCCAGAACTTAAAGGATAATAATTAAAAAAAAAATCAAGTGTCAGTTGGTCTTACATTCCTTCTGGATGTTCTAGGAAATAATTGTTTCTATATCTTCCGACTTGTAGAGATCATCCACATTCTTTGCCTTGTGGCTCCAATTCTGCATCTTCAAAGATAGGCACTGAGCCAAATCTTTCTCACATTGCCATCTGATATGGTTTGGCTGTGTTCCCACCCAAATCTCATCTTGAATTGTAGCTCCCATTATTTTGTGTTGTGAGAGGGACCCGGTGGGAGATAAATGAATCATGGGGGTCTTTTCCCCATACTGTTGTCACTGTAGCGAATAAGTCTCACATGATCTGATGTTTTTTATAAGGGATTTCTCATTTTTCTTGGTTCTCATTTTCTCTCATCTGCTGACATGCAAGACATATCTTTCACCTTCTGCCATGATTGTGAGACCTCCCCAGCCACATGGAACTGTGAGTCCATTAAACCTTTTTTTCTTTATAAAATACCCAGTCTCCAGTGTGTCTTTATCAGTAGCATGAAAACGGGCTAATACAGCAAATTGGTACTGGCAGAATGGGATGTGGGGCACTGCTGTAAAGATACCTGAAAATGTGGAAATGGCTTTGGAACTGGGTAACAGACAGAGGGTGAAACGGTTTGGGGGGCTCAGAACAAGACAGAAAAATGTGGGAAAGTTTGAAACTACCTAGAGACTTGTTGAATGATTTTGACCAAAATGCTGATAATGATACAGACAACAAAATCCAGGCTGAGGTGGTCTCAGATGGAGATGAGGAACTTGTGGGGAACTAGAGTACAGGTGACTCTTGCTATGTTTTAGCAAAGAGACTGGTAGCATTTTGCCCCTGCCCTAGAAATCTATGGAACTTTGAACTTGATGAAGATGATTTAGTGTATCTGGTGGAAGAAATTTATAAGCAGCAAAGCCTTCATGAGGTGACTTGGGTGCTGTTAAAAGCATTCAGTTTTAAAAGGGAAGTAGACCATAAAAGTCCAGAAAATTTGAAGCCTGATTATACAGTAGAAAAAAAAAAAACATTTTCAGAGAAGAAATTTAAGCTTGCTGCAGAATTTTGCATAAGGAGCCAAATATTTAGCATCAAAACAATGGGAAAAATGTGTCCAAAGCACGTCAGAAACCTTTGTGGCAGCCCCTCCCATAACAGACCCATAGGCCTAGGAGAAAAAAACAGATTAGTGGGCTGGACCCAGGGCCCCCCTCCTATGTGCAGCCTGGGGCCTTGATGCTCTGTGTCCGAGCCACTCTAGCCATAGCTCAATGGGGCCAACGTACAGCTCAGGCCATGGCTTCAGCGGGTGCAAACCCCAAGCTTTGGCAGCTTCCATGTGGTGTTGAGGCTGCAGGTCCAGAGAAGTAAAGAATTAAGGTTTAGGAGCCTCAGCCTAGATTTCAGAGGAAGTATGGAAATGCCTGGATGTCCAGGCAGATTGCTGCAGGGGCAGGGCCTTCATGGAGAACCTCTGTTATGGTAGTATGGAGGGAAATGTGGGGTTGAAGCCCCCATACAGAGTTCTCAATGGTGAAGCTGTGAGAAGAGGGCCACCATCCTCCAGACCTCACAACAGTAGATCCATCGACAGTTTGCACTATGCGCCTGGAAAAGCTGCAGACACTCAACTCCAGCTTGTGAAAGCAGCCAGGAGCAGGGCTTTATCCTGCAAAGCCACAGGGACAGAGCTGCCCAAGACCATGGGAACCCACCTCTTGCATCAGCGTGACCTGGATGTGAGACATGGATTCAAAGGAGATCATCTTGGAACTTTAAGATTTGACTGCCCTCGCTGGATTTCAGACTTGCATGGGGCTGACAGACCCTTTGTTTTGACCAATTTCTCCCATTTGGAATGTCTATATTTACTGAACGCCTGTACCCACATTGTATCTAGGAAGTCATTAACTTGCTTTTGATTTTACAGGCTTATAGGCAGAAGGGACTTTCCTTGTCTCAGATGAGACTGGACCGTGGACTTTTGAGTTAATGCTGAAATGAGTTAAGACTTTGGGGGACAGTTGTGAAGGCATGATTCATTTTCAAAGCTGAACACGTCAGATTTTGGAGGAGCCAGGAGCAGAATAATATGGTTAGCTATGTCCCACCAAAATCTCACCTTGAATTATAGCTCCCGTAATTCCCATGAGTTGTTCAAGGTGGAAGATAACTGAATCATGAGGGCAGTTTCTCCAATACTGTTCTCATGGTCATAAATAAATTTCACAAGAGCTGATGTTTTTATAAGGAGTTTCCCATTTATCTTGGCTCTCATTTTCCCTCTTGTCTGCCACCACGTAAGAAGTGACCTTCACCTTCTGCCATGATTGTGATTTCTCCTCAGCCACTTGGAACTGGGAGTCCATTAAACCTCATTTTCTTTATAAATTACCCAGTCTTGGCACTGTTTACAATAGCAAAGACCTGGAACCAACCCAAATGCCCATCAATGATAGACTGGACAAGGAAAATGTGGCACATATACACCATGGAATCCTATACAGCCATGAAAAAAGATGAGTTCGTGTCCTTTGGAGGGACATGGATGATTCTGGAAACCATCATTCTCAGCAAATTGACACAAGAACAGAAAATCAAACATTGCATGTTCTCACTCATGGGCAGGTGATAAACAATGAGAACACATGGACACAGAAAGAGGAGCATCACACACTGGGGTCTGTTGGGGGGTAATAGGAGAGGGACAGTGGAGGGTAGGGAGGTTGGGGAAGGATAACATGGGAGAAATGCCACATACAGGTGATGGGGGGATGGAGGCAGCAAACCACATTGCCGTGTATGTATCTATGCAACAATCCTGCATGATCTGCACTACACACACACACACACACACACACACACACACACACACACACACACACACATATATATATATATATATATATATATATATATATATATATTTACCCAGTCTCAGGTATGTCTTTATCAGCAGTATGAAAATGGACAAATATAACATCTCCCTTGTTCTCTTATGTCTCCCTCTTCCGAACCCAGATGATTACACTGATCCCACTTGGATCCTTGTAGGATTGTCTCCCTATTTCAAGGCCAACTTTAATAACATCTTTTCCCTTATTTCTCCTTAGCCATGTAACTTTATAATGCAGTCCCAACCTTTCTGTCACCAGAGACTGGTTTCATGGAAAATAATTTTTCCACACACTGATGTGGGGACAGGAGAGTGTGGCTTCAGGATAAAATGGTTCCACCTCAGATGATCATCCATTAAATTTTCTAAGGCATGAGCAACCTAGATCTCTCACATGTGCACTTCACAACAGGGTTTGTGCTCCTATGAGATCTAATGCCACTGCTGATCTGAAAGGAGATGGAGCTCACACAGTAATGCTTGCTCATCCATCGCTCGCCTCCTGCTGTGAATCCTGGTTCCTAACAGGCCACGGATTGATACTGGTCCATGGCCTGGGTGTTGGGGATCCCTTACCTAACACATTGACAGGTTCTAGAGATTAGATCACGGATATCTTTAGGGTACTATTATTCCACCACAGTAATAACAGAAGACTGTAATCTACCATTATTCTACCATGGTACTAATAAAATGTCTGATGTCTGATCAGACAAGACAAAGTCAGGTTTTGGGGTTCTGCAGAGACTGAAAACAAGATTTAACATCCTCTCTGCCTTCAAAAAATGCAGTAACTTGAATGGTATACTGAAGACGGTAAACCTTTACATTCTCTTGGGCTGGGAATTGTGCCTTTCCCAGGAGGTACATCTGTCGAATCTGTGTTTTGTGTGATAAGATCTTTTGGGTTAAAAGCAAAAGAATCTGCTTTCAGTGCTATCTTTGGATCTTAATTTAGCAATTTTAATGATGGAGTATTGGTTAAAATATTACTGTTTGGTCATCAGATTAAAGCGTATCCTGACTAGATATTACTGTTCAGAAAATTCAAGTATCATTTCTGAGTAGATTAGATAGAAGCATTGTTTTAGCAACTTTTTATGCTGACAGCAAGGTTAAGCCTTATTAATGATAGTCTGAGAAATTCATCTAGTCATTTATTCTACACGGAGTTTTGAATTCTACTGTCGGCAAAGCAATGAGCTAAAAAGTGAGGATTCAGTAGAAATAAAGACTGATGTTGACTTATCTACATAAACTTAACATATTACTAGGAAACAGAGATGTAAAACTACTAATTAAACAATGAATTATTTAACCCCAATTGTGACCAGTGCTATAAAGAAGAACAAAGCTCTATCCATCTATATTACTCAAAATGTTAGTTTGAGTAATTCTCAAACTAACATTGATTAGGTTAGAAGGAAGAGAACTTACAAAAAGGAAAAGCAAAAATGTTTTTTTTTTTTTTTTGGTTCGCCACTGTGTATGTATCACTTTGCACTGTGCATGGCATTTACTAGAAACTTAGTAAGTATTTAATAAATAAAATCAAATGCTATAATAAAAAACAGGGTTTTTTTCCTAAGAACTACATTATTAAAAATGTATAATCTTAGGATAGCCAAGCAACCCTATATAAACCACATTTCTTATAGGTTCATACCAAAGGGAAATTTTTATCTGTATTAAGCAACATATTCCATCCCATTTTAACCAGGTCTTTGATGAGGATATCTCACAAATTTCTGAGCCCACGCTGGAACAGCAGAGCCAAAAAAAAAGGTGTGATATATCTCAGATACCAGAGTTAATAGACCTGTTATATTGATGTCTAAGATTTGGAGTAAAATGTAAGGCCTGGCCTCATTGAGATCAGACTTAAATATAGCAGCATGTTTGACAAGGGACTAACATGAGACCCAAAAAGGAACAAAGTTTGCAAGTGTTGGTAAAAAGGCAAGCACAGAAATTCGGATTATTTTTGTTAACATTGGTCTAATTACATTTGTCCAGGCTACCTTCTTTTGTCAGGACGCTTTATAAAAATCATTGAACCCACATGCTATGTTGAACTCTCGAAGACTTTTAGGACACTGGAAATATGATAACTGACAACATTTGTCTTCAGAAAAGGAGGGGTGGCATGAATGACAGTCATGCTTTTCTGATCTAAATCAACAAGAAGTAAAATTAAAAGTAAGTATACAGAAGGGGAAACAAAATAGCTTTATTCTTCCTGTTTTCAGAAGATGTGTAATTTTCTATGTAGTATGAAAATTAACCCTACAGACCTTTCACCCTATGTATCACATTTTCCCCAAAAAAGGAAACCAGGTGTATCCTTTTCATTCTTTTCTTACTCTTCTCTTTTTTTTTTTTTAAATCTGTCTCAGAAACATTAAGAAAGGAAAAGTAGTATCACAGTTCTTTCAGTCAAAGAGAAAATAACCTTGAACTCAAACAAAGAATGTCTGTCATCCAAAGCAGAGATGAGGGAGATCTGATTAAAATCAGAATTCCCATCACTACATCTTCACTTGCCACACCAAAATCAGAAGCTATTGATTCTTTTAATTAAAAAAGATCTGATATGGAAATACTACACTCAGAGCAATCCCTTGTGAAAAAGTCTGTCAAAATTTCTATTTTTTTGGCTCATACCTCAGAGACAGACATGCTTAAATGTGCAATTAAATATTACAGGACCATGATGCATAACTGTCCATTGAAAAATCCCAAGGGGAAAGAGAACAAGAACAAGAGAAATGCAAGAAAGTGTCTATATGTTTATGTGAAAAAGGAAAAAGTTGACAAGAGCCCAAAACACAGAACAATGACGCAAAAGAACCAAACAGCAAAATAAAGAGCAAGGTTAAAAACTAATGAAAAAGTAAATACAATCAGGGTGAATTATTCAATAATCACTCAAATCTCCAAAGATATATAACCAAAATACTATTGAAGTTTACAATGAGTACAGACATGTGCCAAATACTCCCCATGTATAGATTATCTGTGTATTAGCCTTAATATGTGAATCAGACCTTGTGTGTTATAAGTCTATGCTTCTCTAATAGTGTCATTCTACAAAGTTATTATTAAAGATAGGCCTCAGCTGAAAGAAAAAACGGAAGACTAACTAATAACTGGTAATTACTATTAATACAAAGGAAACACCAGCTTTATGGCAATATGCATATAGACAACGATTAATGACTTTTAATAGTCATTTTCTCATATGTTATTCATACGTATGGAAACAAAGTAAGACAAGGGAATAGGAATTGGGAGAACAGAAAAAGTCAGGAGAAGAGAGGTAAATAAAGGGAGAAAGAAAGAAAGAATCAAAGTCCCTTCACAAATGGGCCAGGTCATTTAATTTTCATCGTAAGTTATTTCAATTTTATATTTTAAATACTTTAAGTATTTCGAAATACTTATGTCTTTTCTGTTTATTAAATGGCAAACTGGTTTAACATTCTTAGATCTGGGACCATGAGGCCAGCATCCAAAGGAAAACTAATTCTTTCACATTTATAAAATTGTCCGAAACATGTTTTTTCTCTGTGTATCTCCACCCGAGACAGACTCTTTTATATTGCACACAGGATAGTGCTTAAATGCAAAATGCAGCATAAAAGGAGTAAAAAACCTCTGCTACAAGATACAAAATTCTGAATGAAAAATAAGGCATAAAATGAACAAACCTTAAAGGAAGTATGAAAACAAAAAGAAAATAAACAAGGAAACATAAACTGTGCAATAGGAAAAGAAGCCAAGAAAACAACATGTGGGTAGATCTGGCAGTACTACTTCAAAGCTCTTCCAGACAGCACATCTGGTTACTCCTGATGGTTTCCATTGAATAGGCAGGTTCCTACAAACCTTTGTGGACCATTCCTCTCCTTGAAGGACCACAGCTATTACTTAACCTCCCAGATCAGCTATCATATTCCAAGGCATTTCCTCTGATATATTTGTGGCACCTCAAAGTTAAAAAAGATTCAGTTAATTCAAGTTTTCTTGATATTTATTTGATAAAATAACCTGGGGTTGATATCCCATCAAGATGGTAAAGAGGAAAACTGTTACCAGTTATTACCATTATATATATATATATATATGTGTGTGTGTGTGTGTGTGTGTGTGTGT